AGTGGAACAACCTGCCTCCAGAAGCGGTGAATGCTCCAACACTGGAAGTTTTTAAGAAGAAACTGGACAGCCATTTGTCCGAAATGGTATAGGGTTTCCTGCCTGAGCAGGGGGTTGGACTAGATGACCTCCAAGGTCCCTTCCAACTTTATTATTATTATTATTATTATTATTATTATTATTATTATTATTATTATTACTGCTACTACTATGGGAAGACTCTTTGATTCAGCGGAGCATATTGATCAGGAAAAATATTTGGCAAAAAAAAAAGGCTAAAGTGAGAATTAAGAAATTAAATGATGGGATTTATCAGAGGGAATATTAAAAAATTAAACATCTGTTTGAATATGGTTAAAGAAATAGAAAGATTTTGGATATAAATGAATTTTAGTTTAAGAGAGACGAGCCCCTCAAGTAACATAGTATTTTTTCTTTCTTTTTTTTTTTCTTTTGACATAAGAAATATAAAAATGTTGGGATGGTTTATATAAAGGAAATATTTTAGATACTTAAGTGTAATTGATCTTGAGAAAATTTCAATGGATAAAAATGTTTTGAACAGACTTAAAAGATTAGATAATTGGATTTATTAACTGGAACATTAAAGATTAAACATATATTTGAATATGGTTAAAAAGAAAAAAAATCTAGATATAAATGTACATTAACCTAAGAGGGACATATATTTTAAGTAGTATACTATCTTTTTATTTCTTTTTCTTCTTTTTTTTGTTTTCTTTTTTTTAAGATATGAGAAATGTAAAAGTGTTGGGATGGTCTGTATGAGGAAAAAGATTTAAATACTTAAGTGTAATTAACTTTGAGAAAATCTTAACGAGTAAGAATTTTTTGAATATTGTGGGGAAAATAAATTTAAATAAGAATTTTGTAAACAGGATCTATGATGATGCAATCAAGATGATCAATCAGAAAAGAATCTTCATACTGATGTGGTTATTATTTGCAAAAATATTAGAAAAATGTTTATATTTAATTGTCATTTATCAAAATAGTAAGAATTGTAAGAATATTATTGGAAGAAGAGAAAATCAAGCAAAGCTACTATGTGGATTATAAAATTATAGAAACTAATTGTTATTGATTGTTTTTTTAAATATAAACCTAGACAACACGCTGTTTACCAAATATTAAGGTGATTATGTTTAAAAAAATCAATAAAATATATTTTTTTAAAAAGTCACTATGTTTTTAGAAAAATCAGAATCCCAGAATATTTCATTGTCCTTATGCACAACCTACAGTATTACAGGTCTGGAAAACAAAGCATGGACAGAAGATAATGCTGGCAAAAAGATGAGACAAGCTTATATAATCTTTATTTATTTATTCAAACTATGTGCAGAATATATATTAAGGGAAGCCAGGTTGGAAGATGAAGGACGTGGTTTTAAAATTGGAGGAAGAAATATCAATAACCTGAACTATGCTGATCACACAACAGTATTGCTGCTTTTGAACTTGGAGAAGACTCTTGAATATACCATGGACAGCCAAGAAAGGAAACAAATGGATAATTGGATAAATTAAACCAGCATTCTTACTTGAGGCACAAATGACCAGGGTTTAATTATTATACACATTATGCATTGATCTAGCTCTTTGGGGACAGTCTAATGCTGAGAAAAGTGGAAGGAAAGAGAAGGGGAAGACTAGCAGTAAGGTGGATGGACTCAGTTACATTGGTGATGGGTGTTTCATTGGAAGACCTAATGGACCAGGTTAGGGACAGATCATCATGAATAAAATCTGTTTATATGGTCATTAACAGTCACCATCAGTTTGACGGCGCATAAACAATCCATCAATCAATTTCTTTTTAGTTAGTTGATTTCATCTGTTGTGTTTTGCCTACAATTTCTATTTAATTTCTTGAGATGGAAAGCCATATAAATTGTTTATATAAATACATATATAAATAGTAAACATTCTGCTAACATGCACAAAATTAATTTACCTGCTCCAGGTTCTTTGCCTTTATCTATAACTAGCAATTGTTCGTTTCATTTTTCTTAATTTTGTTATGATTATTTTCATATTGATATACAGTACAAGCTTACGTTTTTGACATTCTTGCAACATTTGTGAATTCCTTTCATCAAAGGAAAGAACACTAAAAAATAGCATTTATTTTAATTTGTTTCATTGCCATTTTCATGCAAATTATTTACAATTCATGCTTTTCAAACACCAATCATAATGATTTTTTTTTCAGATGGAAAATTTCCCCCCAATATTTGTCTCATTTATTTTCCAAGACAAATTGCAAGGCATTCATTAAAACTACCTTTCTTACTCCTTTCCTCAGATAAAGTCCACAAAGAAATAAAAGAAGCTTTGGGTTCATCTCACTCAATCTGTTATCAAGATCGGAAGAAAGTGCCCTACACCAATGCTGTGATTCATGAGATCATGCGAAACAAATTTATCTTATTATTTGGCTTACCAAGACAATGTGTGAAAGATGTCTATGTGGATAATTTTCTCATTCCCAAGGTAAAGTAGTTAACTTACTGAATTTCTGGAGGGCTGCATCTTCATGTAAGAATTTTTTTTCTCATTTCATGAGAAGGAACATAGGCTACCTAGCAAATAAAAAAAATTGGTTTTGAGATAAAATGCTTGGGTATTTTCAACCATCTATTAGTATGATTAATCTGAGTTATATAGTTTACAATAGCCAATCAAATACATTTACTTGTATAATAAAGAAGAGACTCTCGGGATCAAATCAGCCCATCTCTCTGAGGTATTTTGGTTCTGAAGTAACTCATATCTGAGGGTGAAGAGTGGCTTGAAAATTAGCCTTCTTTGCTGCTGCTCTCTTTTAATAGTAGTAATAATAGTAATAGAATTGGAAGGGACTTGGAGGTCTTCTAGTCCAACCCCCTACCTAGAACATTGGAGAAATTTCCTGACTGTTAGAACCCTATACCACTTCAGACAAATGGTTGTCCAGTCTCTTCTTAAAAACTTCCAGTGTTGGAACATTCACAACTTTTGGAGGCAGGTTGTTTCATTGATTAAATGTTCGAAAAGTCAGGCAATTTCTCCAAAGTTCTAGGTTGCTTCTCTCTTTGATTAGTTTCCATCCATTGCTTCTTATCCTGCCTTCAGGTGCTTTGGAGAATAGCTTGACTCCCTCTTCTTTGTGGCAGCCCCTGAGATATTGGAAGACTGCTATCATGTCACCCCTAGTCCTTCTCTTCATTAAACTAGACATACCCAATTCCAGCAACCATTCCTTATATATTTTAACCTTTTAACCTTTTTGTTGTAAAGCAGTTTTTCCCTTCCCCATCAACCCTCTGGGGAACCGTGGGAAGACCAAAGGGCCATCCTCAACCTGTCCTGGAGCTGACTAAATAAAGAAGGAAAGCATGAACGTTTAAATGTGATTGGGATAAATCCATGCCCATCATCTGACAAAAATAAAATAAAAATATAAAAATAATAAATAATAATTAAAATTAAAAATAACAAAAATAAAATAATTATTAAGAACAATAATTAAAACAATAAATAAACAAACAAAAAACCTCAAAGGTCTTTTTCTGCCGTCAGTTTTCTATATTTCTATGAAGCTAAAGAGAAATTTTGAAGAGTCAGTAGCTCAAACTGACACACGCTCTAGAAGGCTACCAGTCAATTACAGGATTTAAACAAAAATCAACTTTTTTAAAGGTAGCCCAAGAAGTTTAAATATCCCCCCCCCAAAAAAAAATCCCAAAGTAATTCTAACTAAATAATTTTTGACCTTGCCTGAGTTAACATGCTCCTCCAGAACTCCTGCCAACTCCCTCACAGAGACACCCATACATTTTCCCGCCAAAACCTGAATCACTCCCCTTCTTTTTTTCTATTGGCCCTCCCCAATCATGTGATTTCTTCTGGGCTCATCGGGTGATTTTTGACTGAAAGAACCAACCCCACTCCAATTTGGCACATTTCCCCCCCCCCCAAATACTTAAGGGATTTTGGACAATAAACAAACCTCTATTTGTTATATATTTCCCTAGAAACTTTATTACCCAAGTCTCAAAACTTTTATTACCAAGTCAAAAGTTCTTACTGCAGAATAAATTGGTCTGATTCTGATTTATTATATCATCAGAAAATGTACTATATCATAAAACTTATAAATCCAAAATTTGGATTCAGAGGTTTGAGAATTGCTGAGAAAGACCTGAAATGTCAGCACTGGATATTAGCGACTTTTGTTCAAATCCCACACCGGTATAACTTGAATGTCAATAGATTGTCTGGTACGATGAGTAGGTAGCTTTCGCCCCTCCCATCTGGATCCCCCCCTCATAGTTCATGGCAGACTGACAGCTAGCAAATGTGAAGGTCAAGCATATGATGGCTCATGGAGCAATCTTATAATATGGGCATATCATGATGCACCTAAAACAGTTTGTGCCACTGTATTCTGGACCAGCTGCAACTTACAAATGTTCAGGCGCAGGAGTAAAATAACAGATAACATACAGGGCACCAAAAGTATTACAAATTTACATTTCTTACTCAAATTTCACAGGTCAGACTTACTTAATATTCTTGCCTCAATGTCCCAGGACTTTAAGACCCTTTTAAGGGGTAATGGCATCGGGGGCATTTGAATCTTGGATATAAAGCTGTTCCAAGCCCCACAACAGAGAAGGCATGTATTCTGGGTCCCATTAAATGACAGTGTTTCATCGAAGGCACCCAGCACCCACCGGATATAGTTAAATGAGCAGACATAACTTGTGCTGTGTATCCAAAAATCTTGAATTGCACCCAGATTCCTATCGGTAGCCAGAGCAACTCGTGGAGCAATGTTATAACATGGGCATATCGTGATGCTCCTAAAACTGTTTGTGCCACTGTATTCTGGACCAGCTGCAACTTACCAATGTTCAGGCGCAGTACCACACAGGATATGTTGCAAAATCCAAATGGGGTATGACAAAGGGAAGTGTGAATGGCCATCACCAAAGCTTCCCCATCTAGGAATGTGTGTAATTGGCCACAGATATCACTGGTTCTTCAGGTAGGAATTGTGAGTTGACAACCTTCAAATTGTCTATCATCTCATTTGGAGGAATGTTACCGCATTCAGAATGAAAAATGGGGGGGGAAAAAACACCAGTCATTTTCTTCTTTTTTTATAGGGAGCCATTCTCACCCCAGACCTGCGTTCTGTTCTCTTTGATCCTGAACATTGGGAGACACCCGACGAGTTCAACCCCAATCATTTTTTGGACAAGGAAGGAAATTTTGTGCGCAAAGATGCATTTCTTCCCTTTGGAGCAGGTAATATTTAGTTAGAGTTGGGACTGGGTTTAAAAAGGAAAGAAAAAAATTATTCCATGTCACCTGGGGATTTGAAAAAATGATAGATACAATTAAGGTTGTTTTTCTCAGAGCAGTTAACTGGGTCAATGGTAATGAAGATTAGTGTAGCATAAGAATTCTAAAAGGGATTCACTGTCCCTATCTGATATTAACTTCAGGTGTTCAATAATGAATAGAGGTAATTCTAACCACTTTTGTTGTAGGGACTCCAGACTGAAATGTTAACTAAAACTTAGCTAACCAAAATATTTCTATTAGAAATCATAAATGATAAAACACGTTCCAAAATGTGTCAGACCTCTGTAATGCTCTGTCCCCAACTCAGCAAGGTTGGGTCTTTTGAATTCAGAAGTAGTGATCGCACCAATATGAGTAGATAAGGAAGGCATTATTTCAAGGCAAAATAACATAATATAACCTGAGACAGAAATCAAAGAGCACTGAAGAATATTAAGAAATACAACAGAACTTGTGATCAATTAATATTTGAGAATACAATAATATAAAGAACAATCTTATACCCCTTCTGATAGTCAGAGAACTTCAAAGAAATGGTGGCAGAGAGACCCCTTTAAAGTCAGCAAATATGCTGCAGGCTGCCAGTTAAGTCTGCTTTAAAGTTTCACCCCACGGGATTTTTTTAAAAATTAGGTTATATAATCTCTGAGCAAGTAGCATGGTGGCTATTCGTGAATATTGTGAGCTCTCACTTAGAAGATTTAGAGTTCAATCCTAGATAGAGGAAGATGTTTCTCTTCTGGGGAGCAAAGAAAAAATATCTGCTGCAAACTCCACATAGGTGTCAGGAAGGGCCTCTGGCCTGTAAATGCTCAACTCCATCCAGTTGCCCCGACTCTATCCCATATAACAGTGGTGGCGAACCTATGGCACGCGTGCCAGAGGCGGCACTCAGAGCCCTCTCTGTGGGCACACGCGCCATGCCCCGGAGATGGCAACTGTCCCTCTTCAACCAGCCGCCCGCTAACTCGCTGAGGTCCCACATGGCTGGATGCATCCCAGCACCCATGCGCTCGCTGGCCTCTGTGTGCAGGGGCCGATGGTGTCAGGCAGCAGCCGCCCCTGCCTCACCTTGCCCTGTGACAATGGCACCCCCGCCCTGCCTCGCCTTGCCTTACCTCACCCGGCAGGACAAGTCTCCTGCCCACCTGCCAGAGACCCCCTGGATCTCCCCCAACCCTGTCCGGCCCCCAAAGGCGTCCCTCCCCATGAGCAACATTGAGGTGATTATGCCCACCTTGGCCACACCCATCCAATCTGCCATGACCACCACAGCCACGCCCATCCAGTGGGCCATGCCCACCTGGCACCTGGCAATAAATAAGTGGGTTTTGGGTTGCAGTTTGGGCACTTGGTCTCTAAAAGGTTCACCATCACTGCCATATAAGGACTGCAGAATTGTGAAAAAGGAGTTATATAATCTCTGAACCACCATTACTCACATCTGTTTTTGATGTTCTCTTGTCCCTGGAATTGAGACAAGAAAAGTTCATCTTATCTTGTGCTTAGAATGCTTTGTTTAGTTCTGCCAAAAATAAGACCATGAACATTAAAGAATATTTGTTTATATCAGGTGAAGGTGAGACCATTTTAGAGCCATTTTAAGGTTTTTAGACTGATGAGAAAATCAACTTACACCACGCAGATGTCCTGCCAATGACAGGACAGAACAAAGTATAACCTCAGAAAAACCCTTTAGTGACTAAAATAAATACTTGCTTAATTTTCTATTATGCACACTACCATTACATAGAAATATAAAGTTCTATTTACTATGCACCTAAAGTAAAAGGGTATAGACCACAATCCAATTCTTCCTCACCAATCTTCCAATAAACTAAGTTCTACCGCTTCTATATGCTGAATTATTTCTTATCTATGCTTGAGGCATTTTTTTTCCCTTTTTAAAGAACAGAAGGAACAAATTATTACTGATTCCCACCTTTCGTGTATTTTCTGTGCAGGAGTTCATGTTTGTTGGGGAACTCCTAGCAAAGATTGGGTTACTACTGATTTCCTACTTTTATTTTCTCTGCAGGAGCTCGGGTCTGTCTGGGGGAACTCCTTGCAAAGATTGAGATTTTCATTGTGTTCACCAGCCTGCTGAGAGAATTTAGGTTCCAGCCACCAGAAGGAGAGAAAAAACTCAGTCAAAAAACCATAATAGGCTTGGGTGTGAATTGCCTGCCTTACAAGATTTGTGCTCTTCCATATAACAATCAATCATAATAGGGGCAAACAACAAAGGGGGTCCTTCATATCTGCACATCTTCCTGTCTCCTTCTATTTCAATTCATCTTCACATAGTTCTGTTTCAAGGTTGGCTTTCCAGGTGTTGAAAGCCACCTCCCAGCACACCTTGAGTGTGGTCATTTTTGTACCCACTCTTGGCAATATAAACATAGGTTTTACACATTGGCTACCTGTAGTGGCAACTGCCGCCCACCTGACCAATGAGAAGGGACTAATGAGGAAATTAAGCCATCCCAATACTCCCTTAGATCAAGGGTTAAAGGGATATTAGTCACTTCTTTGGGAAAACAAATAGGAATTATAGTCCCAGACTAGTTCAGGTGCTGCCACAATTACCCATAAGGCAATCTCAGCTGACTCATAGTTTATGAGGTTAAGTAAGTTGAGGGAATGGGAATCGTTTCCAAATCATTATCAGTTTCAAGAAGTTCTACCCTGTTCTGAATTGGTTTCAGGTGTGAGGTTATAAATATACACCTTGTACAGTCAGGTATACCCTATATCAGGGCTTTTCAACCAGTGGTACGGGTACCACCTGTGGTACATTGGCACCTGGCAGGCGGTACGCGACCATCCTAGAAAAGTAGCGGGGGAGGGGAATGAGCTGTACCGGTGGCAGCACCGCACAAGCCTGAGCGAGAGACGGCTGGAGCTGCAGGGCTGTCAGGGCTCAGCGGAAGTGCCAGGATCAGCGCCAGGCTCCAGCTGGAGCTCGGTGCTCATCCTGGCGCTTCTGCTGAGCCCAGAAGAAGCGCCGATCAGCTGGAATGTTGCAGCATCTCCAGGGTCTTGTGATTTACATTCAGATGCTTGGCAACTGATTCATATTTATGACGGTCACAGTGTCCCAGGGTCATGTGAAGTGACCAAAACCTGCTGCAACCACCCAGCAGACGGGGGGGGGGGATAAAAACCAAACACTCCCTCACCCCACCCCCACTGCCAATCCTCAACAGAAATGCTCACAACAATGGAAACCTCAGACAGGAGGAAGAGCGCTGCTGGGTGGGCAGGCAGGTGTCTTGCTCAGCTGTGGCTTGGGGGGCATTTTTTTCAGTGCCATTGTAACTTCAAACAGTCACTAAGCGAACTGTTGTAAGTCAAGGACTACCTGTACTTTATTACTTTTTTCCTTTTTTGGGGGGGGTCATCACCTTGCTGGTGGTACTTGGATGTTGCCATATCCTAAAAGTGGTACAATGGGTGAAAAGGTTGAAAAGCCCTGCCCTATATGATATTCCCTTTGGAGTTGAGCCATATTTCAAAATGTGCACAAAAAGAGAGATAACAGTAAGCCAAAGAAAATAGAAACAGGGTAAAAGGAAAGAAAATCAAATATCATTCACTGCACTTTCCCCTATTCTTGCCATTCATTTTGGCTTGCATCACCACATACATTCTTGTTTTTTCAACCTCTGACTGTCACTTGGAGGGTCTCATCAACTCAACTGACACACAACTTCCTCGACTTTCTCCTTGTTCTCAACTCATTCAATCTCCCTTCACATATTTGGGTCATTTTTGGATTGCCTCGATGCATTTCTAATGCTGCTCTCTGGATAGAATCGGGAACAGAGCTTAATCCTGACCTCATTTCTGATGTTCTATGCCTCCTCCGATACTGATCGATAACACTTGCTGCAGATGAAGAGAATATGAAGAGAAATGTTGGACCCTCTTCTGTCTAACATTGAAATCTTGGGATGGAGGTCTTCAAAGAGCCAGAAATGTGATTTCCCGCTAGGTCATGGACTTAGAGCCAAGCTCCAAGAAGCAATAGAAAGCCTAAGAGTTCAGCAAAGTAGAATGCAAGATGTTGACTCTACAAGCAAGCTCAGGGTTTCATCATTAGCAATGGTCTGAGCAAGCAAAGCCTCACTTGGGTCTGCTAAGTTGGAAAGATTTAAACTGCCTTTCATTGCTGGGATGGTACCACTTCAGTGAGAAGTGAACAGCACTCCATGATGTCATGCTGGCCATATGACCGTGGAAATGTCTTTGGACAGCGTTGGCTCAATGGCCTCCAAATGGAGACGAAGGCTGCCCCCTATAGTCGGCAACAACTAGCGGAGCACAATCCGCAGGGATTCTTTTACCTTGTTTACCATTGTTGGGAGCAAAATTTGCAGCTGGCCTTGTGGATACCTGTTCTTGTTCCCTGCTTTGTCTGACCTCAGCCAGCATGCTCTATCTTGCCCCTTGCTTCTTTTCAATTTATTGTATGGCAGTTGGATTACAGACTGTCTACTCCAATTACACCTCCTTCAGCAGCTCGTCAGCTGTCATGTTCGTTCATGGTTTTTTTTTCTTCTGCTTCCAAAAATCATGTTCTGTTGTCTTCCTCCACCCACCTGCGGCTATCTCTCCAGACTAATCTCCTGAGGTTTCACAAGCCGCTGCAAACGTATTGCCTCCAGCTGTTCTACTCCTTTCCCAGTATGTGTATTCCCGCCCAGCACCTCTGAAAGCCTTACCTGAAGCACCTGCAACATGTCTGCAGTTTGCTGGCCAATTGCACAAATGTTTTCTCTCTTCGTTGAAGCCAGGGCATAAAATGCTGTTTGTGTCGGAAACATAATAAAACATTGGTACTGGCAAAATCTAGTCCTGCAGTTCTTAAGACAGCCTGGTCTCTTTTAGGACTTGTCTTCTACTGTATTGGAGGAGAGAGTTGCATGAGTACCTGGTCAGATGGGATGGTTGAAAGAGTGGATTATGCACAGCTGTGTTGCCAATGGTACAAAGATGGATATTCTGTTTTATGGTTGTTGCTTAACAATCTTTTTGTCATGTTTTTGGTTATGGCTTATAATATTAGGGATCAGGTGTCTCAACTTGTGTGATCAATTTTAGGGAAATATTATTTTCTTTGTATAATCAAACCATTTTACTAGTCAGTTTTATATTCAGTCTATAGACAGATCCTTTCCATATGGATCTATGTATGCTTATCAATAGGACCCAAATAATCTACATATAGAATAGAATAGAATTCTTTATCATAATACAAAAAAAAGATAAATAGCATCCAACAAAGTAAGTGCTGCTTGTATTTCAGCTATGAGCAAACACCCATGGCTTAGAGTAGTTATCATGTCTTGTCATAATTAAAAAGTCCATTTTTCCCCAGTCTACAGTCTGCTGAGCTAGGCAAGCAGATACCCCTAAAGATTATGTCTCTGTAAGAATATTAAGCTCAATATGTGCTCAAGTGCATATGTGCAAATCCATTTTTCTCACTTTGAGTTATTAAATAACAACATAAGATTAAAAAAAATCTTAAAACTTCACCACTTCTTACATGCTTAGCTGTATTCAGAAAGATGTGACTCAAATAGTACAGATGACATTGGATAAGAGGAGAGCCAAGTATAGATTGAAGATTGGTAATACATCAGACAGCAAAGAAACAGCAATGCATGTTGATTCAGATAATGAAAGAACATGACTCAGAATTCTCCCTATCAGGGCAAATGCTTTAAAAATTTATTCAGACCTAATGTAGATGAAAAGGTGAGTGCTGTAGTGAAATGTTGTAATTTGCTAAGGGCATAATTGGTTATAGGGCATTTTTTTAAAAATGGAGAATAAACCCTACTACACAAGTCTTTTGGGGAAACAAACTATCCCTATAGGGGATAAATTTGTCTAGCTCATCCTGCTCATTTGACTCTCAGCTGCTTCCATGAAGAGAAGGGTTAGGAGTCAAAGTGTGGTCAAGGAATCAGGATCTCCAATAGAAAAACCAAGAGTAGCAGCCATGTACATCAATGTTCCTGAAGCAGATTCATAGCACAGGACATTGACTATGTAAATTACTGCCCCATTCAGACACACTGTAGATGGCAGAGGAGAATGGCATGGGAATTCTTGAGGACAAAAGCCGAATATCTCTGTATGGATTGTGAGGGAAATAAATAGAGGAAGGGGTATTAAGTATGTTTGCTACCATAAGTAATTTATAAAAAATACCAGAGTTACCCTATGGTAAGATGAGCAACCAATAAATGTGATAAATAAAATAAAATAAAATTAACAAAGGTAGGTTACAAACAAACAAGTAAATAAAGTTAGACCTTAGTGAAGAGCTTGAAAAGATTCTGCTGTAGCTGGGAAATTGAGCATTATATGACAAACATGGAAAAAGAAGAATGTTAAAATTGGAAGAATATAACCTGAGGTTTGGTTGACATGGATTTTTATAGTACAATAAAGTTAATGTGGACTTTAAAAATCATTATGTAGATTTTAAAAATCATTATCATACCAAGATTATGGAATAAACACAAACACAAACACAAAGTTGTGCCTGATGATGCATTTATCGGTCTCAGCACAGAAAGCATTTTATAGAAGAGAAACAACAGATAGAAAGAAATGGATAACATATCAAGATTTATTATTACAGGAAGATGATGAACTTAAGATGAAGAGAACAACTGACTACAGAAAGACATAGTCTTCAATTGTTTTCATAGGGACAATTAAAAGAAAGATTTAATGCAATTGGAATTGAAAAATATAAAATGAAATTTGAAAATGAGTTACGTACAAATAGTGAATGTGTAATTGCAAAAATGTGTAAACTTTTGTTAGGGTTTGAAACTGAAAATCAACATGTTAAGGATTGTATGATATGGGCTACCAATTTTGGTTATAATATACAGATAGATGCATGGGAAAGAATATGGGTAAATGGAATAAAATTTACTAGAGTTATAAGATATTTTTTTAATAAAATGATGTATTGATCATACAAGACACAAGAGAAACTATCAAAAATGTATAAAGGTACCTCAAATCAATGTTAAAAATGTGACAAACGTGAAGGTAAATTTTATAATGCATTTCTGAAAAAGCTAAGAAATTTTGGGTATAAATATATCATGCTAAAACAGTGGTTCTCAACCTTTTTAATGTCGCGACCCCAACCGGTCGTAAGTCGAGGACTAAACCGGTCGTAAGTCGAGGACTAT